TAATGTTTTTTATTGGATTATATATCTCTTCACCCAACTTATTTCATTAATATTTTCGTTTTTTATGTTTGTTTAGCAAATTTACAAGATTTTTTTTTATTATTAATTACTAAAATTAATAAGAATTTTTTAGAGAGACATCATAATTTTAATATTATATTTTAATTTAATTATAACCTTACATTACAAAATTGATGTTAATTGTTTTATAATTTCAACATGATCTAATATTTATAGCTAGTTTTGAATAAGATATTAGTCTCATCGATCTTCTAAGCATGAGTTAGAATCATGACCTGTAATATATAAATGGTTGTCAATTATTTTATCAACAATAACTTCGAGCAGGCGAAATACTGAACTAGTCACAACAAAGAATAGTAAAATTTAATACGTATCCACTACCTCAATTCCACAAATGAACAGTATTACTCAATTCCACAACTCTCATTCCACATTCCACATAAGTTGTGTTACCATTTAGGGCCAATATTATGTGAATTCTAGAAGAACAAAATAGAGAGATTAACATTTTATCTTGCCTCTATTGCTTTAAACAATTAATTTTACATTTACATTATTTTTTTGGTTTTTAATTTCTAAATCATAAAAAAATCTTACATATCTAATTTTTTTTCTAAAAGTCCTGGGACAAATTCTCTTGTAAGATTACTATGGGAATTTACTATGAGATATTGGTACAGAAATTATCCTGTAAATCGTAGTTTTGGTAGATATGTTAGTTGTTCCTATGTGCTTGGAAAAGAAAACATAGTTCAGTTGATTAACTTTAATAATTGATTAGTAGGTTTGTGTTTTTCTAGTTTATTGGCACTTTTGTATGCTATGTAATTGACCATATACACACACAAAGGACGTAATTAAGTACCTTATGTCCCCCTGGTAATTATGATTAAGAATCTAAGGAGGCATAATCCGAGATCTTAAGCAACCATATGGGACATGTATGCCATTTAACATCAAGTGCACTAAATCTCAAGTTTCCTAAACATAGGAGTTAAATTAGGAAGCAAACGAACTTATCATGACTACTTTTTTGGGGGTAATCGATTGCAAGGCCTAAGCAAGTCCACGCTAGATTTTATTTTTTATGTAATGCTTTGACAATTAAATTCTGTGAAATTGAAAACAGAACGGACATGAATTTACGGTCTAACCATCCAACACAATGCTCACGATTTCTTAAACTGTAACCGGGCTATTAGGAATAGTTCAGGCTTACATGCTATTTTTGGATTTATAATTGTTTAATGCTCATTTTAATTGAAATAAAAAAAAATAGGTATAAATATTTTTGGGATAATCTCAGGTCCGATTTTGCATGCATGACATAAATTTTGTTATCTTGAATGGAAAATATGTTTAATTTTGTACCAGTATTTGTAGCATAATAGTTTGCAATAATGTCATTTTTTATCACCATCCAAATTCAAGCTCTATATATATATATA